CTGGTGGGGTTTCCATGCCGGCAATTGTGGCGTCCCATCGGTTCAAAAACCTTCTAAGGTCCTCCACAGATTCTCCAGTGCGAACGACTCCAAGTAGGTCCTCGACGCGGTAGAGACTGCCAGCTTCCTCAGACGTCCTGAAGTAATCTTCAAACATCAAAAGGACTCTCCTACCTCTGACTTGGATCCCATTCTTTGACTTCTCATCTTTGAAGTTATGGATCTTTGTCGCTAAATCACCTTTGGCTGAGCGAGTTAACGCTGCCGACAATTTGGTGTCAAGTGTGATAAACTTCCCAGGATCCTGCAGCTTTTCCTCCAACTTTTCCCTAGGGGTTTTGTTGTCAAAGACTTCATTGAGCCAAAGCCAAGCCTCATCGGGTTTGTCGGAGCATGATTTCACTTCATCCCTGACATGATTACGCCAGTGACGATAAGCTTCTGGGGCAGGCATGTCATTCAGTTTGATAGTCTCTGCCTCTTTTGTTCGGGGCTTTTCACCATCTGAATCCTTTGAAGTCAGTCTAGTGATGAGATCTAGCAATTGTTGACCTGAAAGACCTAAGCCTGCTTCAGCTGCTTTCTTGCCAGGGTCGCTTGCTATGACTGTAGGACTGGGCACACTATGATCTTGGTTTGCATCATCATCATTTTGTCTTTGAACTGGCAACGGTGGAAGTTTTGGAGGGGCTGCTGATCCGGCAGGGGTTGTTGAGAACAGGTTGCTCAACCTTTCCTTAGCGTCCATGGCTAAGCTACTCATACCAGTGTTTGGCATGGGTTCTGCTCCAGCCTTGGTACCGACCGCTGATTTTGGGGTCATGTACAAATCGACATTATTACCGCCTTGTGCATCATCAACTTCGACGGCTCTGTCGACACTGATTTCCGGGGCGCTGTACTTGTTGAGCTTCTCCATCAAATCCTCGACTTGTCCCTGCAATTGGAAATTGAGTTCAGCAGCTTGGTTTTCCTGCCTACTGCATTCCTCTCTAATCTCCTGAATTACCGCTTGTTCCTCCTTCTTGAAACCTTCCATGCCATTCTTTGCATACTCCACTGTTTCGTCCACGATTCGTTTACAGTCTGCCTCGAGGCTACCTCTGAGTTCAGAAAACCTTTGTTCGTACTGGGCTGTAATATGGGCTACCTTTTGGTTGGCTCTTTGTTCAGCTTCCAGTGCGACTGCATTTGCAGCATTCTTTAGCTTTGCGTTTGCATCGCTAAGTTCCTGTCTCAGTTTTGTTACCTCATGCTCAGCTGCCGTTTGGGACACTGAATACTCTGACACTAGGTGTTCATGTCTGCGATCCGCTTCTGCACGTTGATGGGCAATTTCGCTAAGGCAAACTCCCTCAAACTCTTGGTACAGTTGCTGGACCTTTTGCTCCATGAGATGTGTGTGCCTCTCCTCCGCCTCTTGCCTGAAAGCATCAATGTTACCTTCGTTGATGTAGGTAAGATTGTTTTGCACGAACTGGAAATATGCTTGCACGGGCTGTGAGAAGAAACTTTCATCCACTGACATGGGCGTGGGGTTTGTCCCAGCCGGCAAGCTTTGTTGTGAACCAGTTGTTGCAACCGTTGCTCCAGTCGAGGGGACAAGGGCGCCTCCACCTGAGGTGTCACCAGTTGTCCTTTCCATGGCTTTACGAGACTACGGCTGATAACCTGTATTTACAGGTTTCAGCAGGGGTAATTCCTATTACACCCAAATGGACTGATAAACCTATAAACCGGGAAACACCGTTAAGCTAGCAGCTAAACCCTTTTTGGACTGAGCCGCAATGCTAGTCAGCATATTACTATAGTACAGCTATGTTTTACATGGGATGCAAATACACCATCATCATCCATCATCTACCCATGTGTACTGCTGTATATGTCAACTTCGCTTGGTTACATCCACTCCCCACGCCGGGATGGTGATCCGAGCCCACGTCCTCTAGTGACAACCTCAGCTGGGCGCAAAGTTGGTGCCTTGGGATCAAGCTCCGAGCTATCTTAAAGGTTTCCAGTTTTCAGACGTTTTCAGGGCAATATATCACTGGGTCGTATCTCTCGCAGCTGAGGTTTTTTTTTGGATTGTCCCAACATCGACCTCAGAGGACTGACAACAACTCAGGGCCGCGTCTCATCGGGGGCTGCTGGCGGGTGACAAACTGTCCCCATCAGAGTCCGCATCTTTCAGAATTTTTTGCACGTCCTGGCACTCTGTGTATGCCTGGTTCTGAGTAGACTAGTTGGGGGGTGATGCACGTGATGGAAATGTATGGAAATGTGCTTTCCCAAGCATGAAAAATGTTACACCAGTCAACGGCATCCTGGTTTGTCAACGGAAACCTCTGTGGATGTAGGACTACCCTCCGGTAGTCAAACATGGCAAGCTGGAAAATCCCCGACCTCAATGGAAGTTTAAATAGTAAAATCATGGAACTAAATGGTGGATCTCCAATTGCCACGTTTGGTTGGGCCACAGGGTACATTGGATTTCCAAGTTTTCCAAGGATTAATCCCCATGAAGACACCGTCATGACCGCCACGGGCCTCAACTTTGGAACGTGCGCTGGCACGCGCCAGGGGTGAGACCCCAGAGAGCCTGATGAAAGCGACGGGGCACCAGGCGGACCCCTGTGCGCAAAAAATGATTACCCTCCAGCTATATGAACCTTACGGAAAATCCCATGTATAGCTGTAAGGCATATTAGTTGTAGCACAATGCATGGGCATAAATGTATGGTAGGTTATGTGCACCCATTTGCAGAAGAAAATCCGGGGTATAACATGGGATGTTCGCTTGGCAATAGATTGGCGGTGTAGTGGCTCTCCAAAGATGGCAATGATGGTAACCCCATGTAACCCCATGTAACCCCCATCACCCATCCAACTCCGGCAGGATGGTAAGTATGTGGGAAGCTTAAAGATGCCATAGACATCCATAGAGAGCGACGTTAAGATGTCCTGACGCAACTAGTGCCATTGTTGCGAAGGGTTTCTTCAATCTCTATGCAAGATCTTGCTGGAAGGCCTCCTGTAGGTCTCTTCAAGATATCTAAACAATCTTGGAGGAACCCGGGATAACTGTGGAAATAAAAACCGATGGATGTCCTGGAATTTGACGCTCCCAAATCTACAAACAAAATCTCTGGGCAACACCAATCCCTGCCCTACACACAAAAATCTCGTGGATCTCTGCAAAGTGCGGTTGCCCAATTTGTTTCAGTAACGATTGACTTCGGGGACCCTCAGATGAAGGATTTGCCACGGCAATTTGCCTCGCTCTCTTCGCCATGTCGCAAGTGGTCGGAGTTTCCGGAACTCGTCGTTTTTGGAAAACCGAACATTGTGCAGCTGGATGGATATGGGTTTGTCTGAAAATAGTGTATCTCATATTCCAATGGATTATCACCATGTTCCCCATTAAAATTGCTATTTGTGGGTATCCCCTATTTTCAGACAAACCCATATGGATGATTACTGAAGCCCAATCGAAGATTGAACTCTGGTTTTGCGGTGTCTCGTGCACTTTTGGATCTTGAGCCTGTCACGGAGGATCTGGCGACACCAGGGCACCCTGGGCGACCATTGATCCAAGGAAGCGGAAAAAGTAGGAATTCTATATAGCTGTGCTAATGTGTGGGTTGGCCCAAAAATGGGGTGCCACAAAATCTAGTGGTTCAAACATGTGCAAAACAAAGTCTTTATCAAAATTGCCGTTTTGGGCTGTATCTCATTTCGTGAACAAAGCCATCTTAAGTCATGAATCAGTTTCAATTCGTGGGATGCACATCCAAGTAAATGTCTAAATGTCCCAGAAAGCCAGGCATGGTCCTGGCGCACATCGCTCGTGACCTTACCATCTATAGATTGAATTCGTGATACTGTCTATGGCAAAAAATGAATGTCAACCCCAACTCCCCATTCATTGCCCTCAAGATCAGGGACGTCACCATCCAGCTATCCAAAAATGTATAGACAGGACACACGTGATACCATTTAGCCAATGATATTTCAAACAAACTCAGTACTGAGTAAAAGAGTATCCAACTGAAACTTCTCGAATTTTACCAAGGTATCCCCTAGTCAAGTGATAGTTGCTGCTGAATTGGTAACCCCTCCACAACCACGGATTAGTAGTCTCTGTTTTTTTGATTTACCTGAGGGGGGGTACCCCAGTTATATAGTCATAAAATGTCATAAATTTCCATGAAAAATTGCACCCCTTCTAATTAGTAGAGGGCTTCAATCAAATCATGGGACATTGAGCCCAGAGGTTTCGGAAAAGGAATTACTGGTGCTAAACGTAAGGAATGGATGGGACTGGGGGTTGCTGGGATTATTATTGCTCGTGATTATGGATCATCCCCTCTTTCCCTGCTAAGCACCAGTAGATTACTTCAGGGCACCACAGGCACCACAGGATCTCGCGTTTTGCAAGGCGCTCCAGTCACCGAATCGATCAACGAGCGATGCTCAGCACAAAGGGCAAGGGACCCACGGAACCCACAATTTATGCAAATAGCGTGGAAAAATGTGGAAAAGAATAGATTCAATGATGTGATAGTACTAATGATAGTACTAATGTGGAAACCAATGATGTACTATTCAAAGATGATCATGATGTGATAGTACTAATGATGGTGTTAACGAGGATGACAATGAGAACTATAACAGATAACAACATGCAATAATGAACATATGAAAACATATGTGCAAATCACGACATGCCATGTATTCCACAGGCTTTGGCCAGTGATGTTGGCGAATCCGAACCACCAACAACCGCAGTTGCCGATGAAGATCATACTCAGGTTGCTGATGCTTCCCCCCTAACATTGAATACACTGCTTAGTAATGAGTAACCATCTATTGTAATATTTTATATATTCGGAATGCCCATGATACAACAGGCAAAGTGCTGAGATCTACGCAATGAAATAGACATAAATAGACTGATGTTGCACCCTTCTGGAGTCACAATCTACAATTGCCAGACTGGTAAGCCTACTCCGAAAACCCGTCGATGGTTGAAGTCCCCGTCGGTCCCTCTGTCCACAGGGTCAGCTGCTCTGTTTCAGAGTGGCGACCTGGCGAAACAAGGGGTAACTGATATCACCATGGGGGTTGTGGGGCCCCATTGAAGTTATGATGAATTGGGATATGGGGCCCTTAGATCCCAACTTAGCTATGGTTCACTGCGACTGCACCCCTAAGCTGGAAATCATCACTGTCAGGCTTGCTCCCAACACCCCAGATGCATTTGATTTGATCTATGGCAACCTCAGATTCGGGATATCTACCAACCCCTTATTAACAACAACTGGTGATGCCATCGGCCTCGCGGCGTTCGCGGCGTCAGGCCAACAACCTGCATGGCACGTGCCATGAGTGTTGGGGAGTCACCGTTTTTTTCCCCAAAAAAAGACAGGTGATGATATTGGGGGTAGTTTATATGTTGGATCTACCTGACTCACCATTTTGTGTAAAACTGAATGCTGGTAGATTATACTATATATAGATATTCATTATTGTATAATGTTTACGTGATATTATATAGTTGGAGATAGTGGGATATTCTACGTTTTTGATATGATCAATACCCTCTGGTAATTTGTCACATAGCTATTGAAAATACCCATAGAAATAGTGAGTTTTCCCATCAATAGCATGGTGGATCTTTCCATAGTTTTTTGTATGTTTTACCAGAGGGTATTCAATATCAATAAAATGGAGGGACATTAGTACCATATAAAGCCATATGGGTATGGATCCATACCTATTAATACCATTTTTAGTGGGTTATTCACATCCATAAATCCCAGCTATTTTGATGTGAACTACAGGGGTACAAGGTTTTGACACACTGCCATATAAAGCCATATGGGTTTGTCTGAAAATGGTGCATCTCATATTCCAATGGATTATCACCATGTTCCCCATTCAAATTGCTATGAATGTGGCTATCCCCTATTTTCAGACAAACCCATATAAACCCATATAAAGCCATATAAAGTGCCATTGTGGCTGGTCAAATTTTCGGGTCAAAACTCAGCCTGTCCAACCCCAAACCCGCCTGTCCGTCCGTCCGCCGAAGCTCCGCGCGGCATCGCCCAGAGAGATGCCGGAGCCTGGGAAGCCCCAACGGGGTCCCAACGGGGAACGGGGGGAAAGTCAAAAAAGCCCCAGAAATACCATGGAAAATGATGGCTTTATATGGCTTTATATGGCTTTATATGGTACTAATGTCCCTCCATTTTATTGATATTGGATACCCTCTGGTAAAACTAACATAGCTATGGGAAATCACCATTTTGAATGGGAAAACTCACTATTTCTATGACCATGTTCAATAGCGAACTTTGTATGTTTACCAGAGGGGACCATGGAAAATGATGAGAATGTCTATCAAAACCCTTTAAAGACGGTGAAATTGATGATGTTCAAATGATCCCCAATTTTTCTCATGGGTGGGATGGAAAGATCCAAGATTGCCTAAAGAGTTGAAATGGCAAGTCAGTGGGGAAACAACTGTCCATTGGGTTTGCCGGTGAGTTTACCCATCAAAACGTCATATTTAGCTGGGTACTCAGGTACTCTTCTAGCCCCACCAAAAATGTGATCAATTGGAAAAATCCACCAGGAATGGGGGTGGTGACCAACGGAAATTGATAATAAATCTGTCATTATATATACCGAGAAACACCATTTTCATGGGATATCCTGGGTTTACCCGGGTCAAAGGCTGGAAATTACAGTAGTGGCCATACCTCGACATGGCCCATCCATCCCAAACCCGGGATCACTTCTTAGGGATAGCGTATGCCAAGATGTGATGGGTTTAGGGTTCCCACTTTCACTAGCGATGCTATTTCTGGTCCTCTACTTTTGACCCATCGGATTTTGTTGGTTGCATTGGTTTGATTGTACTCATCTATTCATCTATTCCGCCCAAAAATACCTGTTCACCCTTCCCCCCCCACATGGGAAACACATGAAGCAGGTTCAACCCTCGTCCCTCTCTCACTCTGCGGGATCAGCTAGCCGCTTTTATACCCACTGGGCCACTTGGCATATCCCTTTCTGGGTAGTGCTTTCTCCCCAACCGAATTGGAGTGAACACACTCAAGAAGAGAACAAGAAGAGAACAAGGTCTTCTAGATTTCTAGATCGCCAATCGAACACCGACCATCAATCTGGGGTTAAAAAAGTACTGCCCAAAACAAAATGCGTCAAGACATTCAAACCCCCGAAATCCAAAAACGTCGCTCCGTTGAAATTCCAAGTAGTTTTTTTCATCCCCAGGCCTGCCATAATTTCTGGTACTGACACGGTTGAGGCCTGGCACCAGGGTATGGCTGAAAATGAGCTACACCTCCAGTGCAACTGGTTACGGAAAAACTTGGTTTTTAACATGTTTAAACCATTTTGGATTGGGGAAGGTCCCCCAAAAATTGGTGCGGGTGCGAAACCATATGATGTCGAGCTGCAAGGAGGTGCCAAGGATACTATAGCTGGTTGATGACCAATATTTCACCAGGCTTGATAGCGGATATTGTATGTATACCCTCTGGTAATTTGACATAGCTATGGAAAATCACCATTTTTAATGGGAAAATCCACGAAATAAATGGCCATTTTCAATAGCTATGTTACTATGTTAAATTACCGGAGGGTATATGTCTATATATCTTATATATAAATTATATATATATACACATTATACTACGTTGCTAATGGGGTTTAATTTATATCACAACTGATTACCGTGGAGGCACCATTTTCTGGAGCTTGAAGGAGCAATCCCATGAGCCCACCCTCCAAAGACATGCCGGTGTGGGCAAAGGAGGAAATCTCCCGGATTAATTCCTGACGCCAAGAACTGATAGGACCCACAGGGTTAGGGGAAGTGTTGGAAGAACGAAAATCTGCAGGAAAGCCTTGTTTCACACTCAAAATGCCAGGAAATTTCGGTAAATTTTCCTTTGAACCTATTCTGGGATGCAAGTTTGGTGATTTGGAGATGCCCAAAACTCTGGATTTTGGAAGGTCAGCGCTCTTGAAGTTCCATAAGCCTTGTGCCACTTGGTGAAATGGACCAAACACTAAAGATTTGAGCTGGTCAGGATCATCTTCCCTGGTCTTGGGTTGGGCAAAGACAGAGTCAGTCACCCGAGTCAGTCGCCCCAAACGTCCGAGTCAGGAACCCCATAGGACAAAATCAGTCACCGGTGAACACTAGCACACTGGATGCAGGGAAATCAAGAAGAGACAGAGAGTCAGCAACCGAGAGTCAGTCACCCCTCGGAAGCCGGGAGGAGGATCAAGGAACCCGGAGGAAAACAGAAAGTCAACAACAAAGAGTCGGTCACCCTGGAAGGAGAATCCAGGAACCCCAACAACAAAGACTCAGTCACCCCTGAAAGCTATCTATCCATCCATCCATCTATCCATCCATCTATCTATCTATCTATTAAGGAACCCATGGGAACATGGAAAAACGGAACGCCAACAACAAAGAGTCCCTCAAGAAACCTTAACGCAACCCTTTAAAAAAACAAAGCAACACTAAGTAAAGCCTAAACCAATCCTCACGCAAACCCTGACAAAACCCTACACCTACCCTAGACCAACCCCAAAGAAACCCTAAACCAACCCGAAATATACCCTAAACCAACCCCCAAATATAACCTAAACGAAACTTAAACAAACCCTAAACTAATCCTAAATAAACCCTAAACCAACCCTAAGCCAACCCTAAGTAAACCCCAAACCAGCGCTAAAACAGACCCTAAACCAACCACAAAACAAACCCTGATGAAACAATAATTCAACCCTGAACCAAACCAAAACAAAGCCTAAACCAAGCATCCATAAACCCCAAACCAAGACTACATCAACCCCAAAACAAACCCGACAGAAACCCTAAACCAACCCTCAAGCAAACCCTGACGAAACCCAAATTTCACCTTAAACCAAATCTAAATAAACCCCAAACCAAGCCTAAAAACCCAAAACCAACACTAAGTAAACCCTAAAGAGACCCTAAAACAAACCTTGACAAAACCCGACATTGACCATTAACCCGAAACTAACCCCAAATAAAACCTAAACCAAGCCTGACTATACTACTCTAAACCAAGCCTAAATAAACCCTAAACCAACCCTAAATAAACCCTAAACCAACCTTAAAACAAATCCTGACGAAACCCATGATTACCCTAAGCCAACCCTTTAAAAACCCTAAAACAAGCCTAAATAAACCCCAAACCAACACAAAGTCAACCCTAAATAGACCCTGAAACAAACTATGAGGAAACCCTGCAGAACCTTAAACCAACCCTAAAACTAACCCTTAATAGACCCCAATACATCTTGAAACAACCCTGAACCAACCCTAAAGAAACCATGTCACTTTGATGGCCCACGAGGCACGCCGCAAGGCAGTCACCCCTCGCCCCCAGTGGGGCTGTGGAGGGTGACTGACTCCGACGTGGGGGGTGGTTGACTCACTGTGGTCTGACTCTGCTAGTGGGTATCCGATTCCGTCTGGTCGCGTCTTGGGTTAATCTCATTGAAATTCCTGGGGGCAACGATTTCGATTCTGGATTATTGGTAAAAGTATAAAGAAGATCGAGTCACTTTCTCCCTTTTTCCCTGCTCCCGCACCTCTTTCATGCCGACCAGTTTGTGATAGTCCTGCATGTCAAAACAGAAGGCCGGACGTGGAAGGAAAAAGTATATAAATCCCTTGCAAACCCCTGAGCTCAGCATTCCGAAGTTCTCCTAATTATTCCAAAACATGGTCTGGAAATCCCCCAAACTAAAAGAACCCCTGAATGACCAGGAGATATGACTCATAGCTGCCACTGAGTAGGGATCAATAGGGACCTATTCAGTCCTCCGTCGTCAGAGTCTGTCGGAAGGAATCCTGGTTGCTGCGTTCTACGACTCCCAGGGTGCCACGGGCACAGTAGGCAAAAAGATGTGGGAATTTCTGCTGCGTTTCAGGCCACAGCTAAACGGCTAAACCATCAAGGGCTGATTCGGCCGAGCTGTGCTTAGGATAGAGACCCTTTGACACATGGCAAGTGGCCTCTGTATCCTTTTGGATGCTCATTACACACCAATCTCTCCTTAAAGGCCGGATCATGCTCGCAATAGATCTGGAAGAGTTTCCTAAGGCGCTGCGACCCTGTTCAAGGCAGGATCTGATCTTTCCGCCTCTATGGAATCGAAGAATTACAATCTGTCAGAATCAAATGATCTCTTACTTGTCCAACAATTTTCAAGTTGATTGCAAATTCAATATAGTAACCATTATTCACATTGATTACTGTACTACAAACTGGTTTGGTATTCATAACCAGTACTATTATATACTGTAATTCCAAACGGTTGTATTCTACTTATTGGTTAGCATTTAGAATTACAATTTCCAACGTGATTGTCAATTCTACTATGATTTTGTAGGAAATACTTATATATTGGTATTCCATTGGTTAGCATTGGTAGTTGTAAATAGTTTGTTAACCAATACTAACTTGATTTGTAACCATACTAAGCTCATTGGTAATTGTTACCATTAAAACTATAACCATTATGTAAACTAATGATGTTGGTACCCGTTATATGTTACCATACTAACAACATTGGTTAGTTAATAGTAAATTGCTACTGCAACTATAAAAATTCACTATGCAACTGGTAGAATTCTATAATATTCTTGAAGCTCACAGAATCTCCGTTTTTGCCACGGTTTTAACACTTCTCTCATCCAAATCCACAAGGATTCCCTCCATTGTTCCATCATTTTTACCATTGGTTCCATAATGTCGCATTTTTCCCACGATGTACCCTATGTTCAATCAATTCCATCATTACAGAAGGATCTAAATCTGCCACCCCCTCCGAACAATACGTATAAAGGTCTTATAATGATTATGTTGTATTCTATCTTATGGAAAGTACAAGTGGTGCAAAAAGGCCGCTTTTTGCGAGAAAACCCAGGATCCTGGAGAACCAGAAATTTACGCTAAGAACCCTTCCATGACTTCGTGGGGGTCTCCTAAAAACTCGGGTCGTTTTATCCAAAAAAACATAGGCTCCGGGCAAACGTCCGGATCTGTGCGCAATCGTAAATATTGGTAGTAACCTTACCCAATGGTAAATGGAACATTTAATCTAACAATATTCAGTGGTACATATTGGCAACAGTAACACTAACCAATGGTAAATTGCTAGTGACCATTTCCAACGATTTGGGTCGCGAGATCTCGAGTCAAAGCAACAGATCTTCGAGCCAATGAACCAGCAGCGGATTCGGCCCATACCTTTCGACAGCGCCAACGCAAAGGCGCGCAGTTCCCGCAGTTCACGCAGGCCATGGGGCCACAAAGATGGGTTGAACTCACTTTAATGGGACGGGATATGTATATATATGTGTGTGTGTATGTATTTACAAATATATGCAAATATATACATATGTGTTTATATATTTATATGTGTGTATGTGTGTATGTGTGTATGTATGTATGTATGTATGTATGTATGTATGTATGTATGTATGTATGTATGTATGTATGTATGTATCTTTGTATCTTTGTATCTTTGTATCTTTGTATCTTTGTATCTTTGTATCTTTGTATCTTTGTATCTTTGTATCTTTGTATCTTTGTATCTTTGTATCTTTGTATCTTTGTATCTTTGTATCTTTGTATCTTTGTATCTTTGTTTCTTTGTTTCTTTGTTTCTTTGTTTCTTTGTTTCTTTGTTTCTTTGTTTCTTTGTTTCTTTGTTTCTTTGTTTGACATGTATGTATGTATGTATGTTATCTCTCTGTGATATCATGGGAACGAATGGGATATGAACTACCATTCAATGGATTGGCTTAAGGAAAATCAGGAAAATCTACGGTTTAAGCCGGCGTTTTTTGGGAGTTTTCCTACCGTTTTTCACAACGGGATGCCGGTCATTTTCCAACACCAAGAAATTGTCATTTTCCAACACCAAAAAACGGACATGTTTCAACACAACTCCGTAAAATCAAGCGCGGAATTCTCACCGCCGCCAAGATTCTGCGCAACGTAGCCGAATAGAGAAGGGATGCTGGCTCTTTTGGGACTCTTACACACATCTCGGCGCACACACGAATTTTTACATTTATATTATATTCTATTTATTTTTTGAATGGATATATGGAATAATGCTTAAAGTTCATGTAAAGTTTTTGTGAAACTGTTTCGAGTTGGTTTACAGTGTCAATTTCGGTTGGTTAAGAGTTTATTCAGGATTGGTTTGAAGTTTATTTAGGAGTGGCTCAGGATCTATCTAGAGTTGGTTTAGGACCTATTTGGGGTTGGTTTAGGCTCTGTTTAGGGTTGGTTTTAGGTTTTGTTTCGGTTTGGTTTAGGTTCTGTGTAGAGTTGGTGTAAAACCTGCTCAGGGTTGGTTTACAGTTTATTTTAGCGTTGGTTTAGGATTTCTTTAGGCCTGGTTTACATCTTATTGGGGTTGGTGAGGGGTTTATTTAGGCTTGGTTTAACATATATTTGGGGTTGGTTTAGGATCTATTTAGGGCTGGTTCAGGGCTTATTTAGGATTAGTTTCAGATTTATTTAGGTAATGCTTAGGGTTTACTTGAGTTGTTTTAGTGTTTTTCTTTGTTTTGGGTTTTGTCTAGGGTTCATTTAGGGCTGATTTAGGGGTTATGTCACGTCTATGTATTATATGATGTTTGTTAAGGTTTATTTACGGTATGAGAAACAAAAGAACAGCAAGGAAAAGCAGGTAAGCAGAAAAAAAAACAGAAAGCAGAGAAGCAAAGAAGCTGGAAAAGCAGAAAAGCAGGGAAAAGCAGAAAAGCGGAGAAGGAGAGAAGCAAAAAAGCGGAAAAGCAGGAAAACGCAGAAAAGCAGAGAAGCAAACCAGCAGGGAAAAGCGGAGAAGCAAAAAAGCAGGGAAAAGCAGAGAAGCAGAGAAACTGGGAACCAGAAATCCAGAAAAAACATTAAAACGGAAGAAAAAACAAAAACTAATCCTCCATTAGTTGCTGGTATTTAGGGTGTGTTTAAAGTTTTTTGTGGTTGGTTGAAGGTTTATTTGCGGTTTATTTAAGGTCGCTTTAGGGTTTATTTCGGGTTGGTGTAAATCTATTGAGGGACAGTTTCTGGTTCATTTGGTGGTGATTTAGGGTTTATTTTGAATTGGTTTAGAGTTTACTTAGGGTTGGTTTAAGGCTTATTTAGGATTGGTATAGTGTTAATTTATGATTGGTTCAAGTCTGATTTAGGGTTGGTTTAGGGTTTATTTAAGGTTAGTTTGGGGTTATTTGGAGTTGGTCTATGTCTGATTTAGCGTTGGTTTAGGGTTGCTTTGGGATTTGTTTAGGGTTGTCAGAATTGGTTTTGGGTTGGTGTAGAGTTTCTTTAGGATTTATTTAAAACTCATTTCCGGCCTATTTAGGGTTTGTTCCGCAAAACTACACAATGTAGAAACTAATGATCTTAACAACCCCAACCAAGAACCTCCGGAAACGAAGCGACACAAACACTGCGGAGACCTACGGGGTCACATTTAAACAAGAGACTCCGAAAGCAAGAAAACGAGAAACCTAGAAACCAAGAGACCCAGAAACCAAGAAACCCAGAAACCAAGAGACGCAGAAACCAAGAAACAGAGAAACCAAGAAACCGAGAAACCAAGAGACCCAGAAAACAAAAAAAAAAACAGAAACCAAGAGACCCAGAAACCGAGAAACCAAGAAACCGAGAAACCAAGAAACCGAGAAACCAAGAAACCCCGGGAACAGAAAGTTAGAACCATAGCTCGTTGCAAAATGAACGGAGCGGCTGCACGCACGAAATGTAGACGCGAAGTAACAGCCCTGGCGCGTTGAGAAATGACCTCTGGCGCGTTGAAAAATGACCTAAATACCGCGTTGTAAAATGACCATTTTCTCGCGTTGAGAAATGACCCCCCTTCCTTGTATACTTTCAACTTTACCTCCCAATCCCGGAGCCCAAAATCCAACAAAAATGACAGGTGAATGGACAGAATAATCAGAATATTTATGAATATTTGGATATATTTCGGCAGTATCGGCAGTTGGAAATCATCTTCATCAAGAACTGCCGCCAGCCACTGTCCAATGGGCCAAGGGACTGCTTCTCTCTGCACAGAAGCAGGACCAAATTGATGAGTTCATGCTCCTTGATTGCTCCCGTCTCCTTAGGACCATGAGCAGACCTGGTGACCTGGGTAATCCTGGGTACGTAACGTCTTTTGGGGACCAAAGGGTGGCCACAAAAATAATTCACTCTTGGAAAGGCATGGAACTGTCATGGTCTTCTGAATGTAAATTCTTTGGTGTTGCGGCAGACCTTCCAATGAGCAAGAAGCTCACAGCGTAGCCATTGGGGTGATCATTCCACTACCAAAACCAACAGTAGGGACAGGTCACTGCAAACTCAGTCGGCAAGGGTTCAGGACGAGAAGGATGATGACTCTGCCCAAAATTCATCATGCAAGAATAACCGGGACCAACCTATGTTGGTGTAGACTCGTAGACCAGTCCAAGAATTGGAAAGGAAAATGCTGAGAAAACCTCCAACATTTCGAGAAAAATTACCTGTGGGATGAGTGGAATTCCACACCCCAAAGTCAGCCCCTCGTTGTGCCATCCCAGCTGCTAAGCCACGATGCAGCACGGCGCCGAGCTGGTCCCGGCAGCCCTTAAATGATCCAGCAGGTTTCCGGGGGTCAGGATGTATCATTGGCTAAACTAAAAGCAGGAAGGTGTGAACCATTTCAATGAGGATTCCTAGCCCTGATGTCGCACCAAAAATGAGTCAGCCCTGTCAAATTTGATCTAATCCGGATCATTCTGAAGTCGGAAGAAACGTGGAACAAACATGGAAGGAAAACCGGACAAATGCACATTTTTGGCCAACATCAAAATTTACAAACCATAGAAAACCATAGAAAACCATCAATTCATCTTCAACTTGACCAATTTGATACGTTGTAGACTCACAAGTCATGGCGCATTTGGGAACCCGGACAGCCTCCATGGCGCTATTGCCCTGCCACATCTGTAGCAACTTCAGCACCTGCACGGAGTCCCCAACGATTCGTTACCCGCAAAAGAAATAATGGCCCGCTGAACGGAAGAAAATAGCACAGGAATTCGTGTCCTAAGGTCTTAGTTTTCCTCTTCCAGCCTTAAAAACAGATTTACCCTCTAGTAACTTAACATAGCTATGGAAAATCACCATTTTTTATGGGAAAATCCACTATAAATGGTCATTTTCAATAGCTATGTTAAATTACCAGAGGGTATAACTGTAAACTCTCCCATCTATTTTAGATGAGTAGAAAGCCGATGAGTAAAAACAGCGCAGTTTCCAGGCCTGTTCCCCGAAGTTGCTTCCAGTAAGCCCCGCTGACCTGCTTTTCATCAACACACAATGCTGGGAGCATTTGATCATGTCATCATGGATATGCATGGATACCATCTGGTTATTTGTTACATAGCCATGGAAAGATCCACCATGCTACTAAGAACGGTAAACCATCTATTTCTGTGGGCCATCGAAAAAACCATGGCGAACTGGTTGTCATAACCAGAGGGTAATCACATTTAGTCACTATAATTTGTAATTCATGGGATTATCATGGGATAAATGGGATAAATCATGGTTAATAATGGTTAATGATGGTGGTTAATAATGGTTAATGATGGTTAATAATGGTTAATGATGGTTAATGATGGTTAATCATTGGTATATTATATCATGGGATATCATGGTTAATGATGGTCAAATCAATCCCATGGCTGTTTTCAAATCACCGAGAGCCGGGCAGTTTGGAGCTCCGGATGCTGTACCAGCGCGTGAGTCCTCCGATGATGTCCATGGCCTCCAAAGGTATTGCGGCGCGGCGTGATCTGATGGCGGAGTTCCAAACATGGGTGGCTTGCGAATCCCATCAATCTATAGTTATATTCATAGAATTGGATGATGGGAAAATTTACAGGAAAGCCCTATATTTGATGGTAAAAACCATGGTTTCCTGTAAATTTTCCCTTAAACCAATCCAGTGATATATACCCTCTGGTAAACGTTTACATAGCAATTGAACATGGCCCATAGAAATCGATGGTTTACGGTTCTTAATAGCATGCTGATTTTCCATGGCTATGTAACAAATAACCAGATGGTATATAAATATGAAGGGGATTCACAACGATTAACGATGGGATTAAGTTAACTATTAACCCCATCGATTACAAATGGATGTGATCATGATCACATCAACCATATTAATCTATCGTGGTTTTATGATGGATGGGATCCTCATGGGGAAAATGTGCACTGCTTGACTGAAGCCAGTGGTCCAGGCTCGGTCCAGGCGGCGGTCCATTTGCCTGGGCCCTATGACATCGTTTTTTTAATGGTGATGAAATTCCATGAAAAAATGGAGATTTACATCATCTAGAACTGGGAATGTCGTAAAATATGACTCAGCACCTTGATAATATGCTACATTGATTGATTGATTGATTGATTGATTGATGCTGGGGGTTTAACATGATTTACACTCTGGTAATTTAACATAGCTATGGAAATCACCATTCGCGATAGTGAATCATCTATAAACGGACCAGTTTCCATAGCTGTTGCTGAATTACCGGAGAGTAGTCGACTACTACGGAGATATATAGGTTTGTGGCATTGGGGTTTGCCAAAAAAAAGTGGGGATATTTGACATCACCCACAACAAATGTCATATCAATAAAGGTAAAGCCAACAACAATTGGTGGTAAGAGGAACTATGCTTAAAAATACGGGTCATTTCGTGTTGGATACCACCCACACAAATACAATCGACGATGCAACCAAGAAGAATGGGACATCTTGGCCTGCAAAAACAACAAGAGTGGGATAGATTGGAGATGTGACCGAAAACAACAAGCTGTGGCGACATTTGAACTTTGCAAATCGTCTGAGCTTTTCAGACCCAATGTAAAAAAAGAACTGCGGGGAGGTGAAGAAATCTGGAAATCGGTCCTCCCAACGACGCGCCAAGCAACGGGACTGTTCAAATAGACGCCCAGAATGCACAAGGCGTAGACCTTAGCACCGGCGGGATTTGGCATCAATGGGTTAGTTTCAAGGGAAACTCGCAACCTAAGACCATGTTTTATTCTTTTCAAATATACCGCGGGTTCTGGTTTTAACGTTCCCAATGCATGCTTTGCAGTGAAAGCAACCCACTGCTAAACATAGGTTATTATGTCACGGCTATACTCTGGTAAACGATGATCCATGTCTTCCCATAGTTCAAGGAGCCAGCCTTGAAGGGAGGCGGTTAAAGTGACCAGAGTATCTCGGTCTGCTTGGGTCTCCATTTTTAAAGCTCACAACTGAGTGGCCCAAAAAAAACCGCCCCACGTGGCTTCTTGATCCAAGCGGCCAGGATATATGCCAAAGGCTGATGGACGTACTTTGCATCACCCCACACCAGGTAGCCTGGCTATGCCGGCGGATGTTGCAGATCAATGGAGGGGTCTCGAGCCAAACTCTGGTTTTGATATCAGATTGAACAGCCTCGCACATGATTAACATTATATATCATATAACATAATATAATTATATAATATGCGGTAAACCCCTCATAAACTTATAAGCCATCCCATCAACCAGCCCTTTGGGGGGCTATTGTAAATCACCCCCACATCTCAATTGGGGATGACTGGAAATCTCCGGTCCAACTTGGGAAAATGCCCTACAAAACATTGTAAAATCATCAAGAATCCCCGAACGAAATGGAGATCTCTAGCCGGAAAAAGATGAAACTAAATCGTGTAGCCATGTTTGACACCGGAGGGTCAACATGGATAAACCATCCCCCAATTCCGGCTGCAGGGCCCAAAACCTGTGATCATGTTCACCACCAGCTGGGACGAGAGCTGGGCCGGGATGAAGAGAGACACATCACCTGCAGGTCCGGCACCGTGAAAAATGTCACCCTCACGTTGGTTAAAAAAAGAAAGTGTAAAGTGCCGACCTAAGAGCGGGATCTCATTGCTGCGCGCGATGTCACTATAGTAGTTACCTTGTTCCTCATTCTTGCAAATGTCCCGCCATTTTCGAGCAGAACACCACTGCTATGGACCTCTCAAAAAATTGCAGCCTGGGCACAGTGGCCGTTGGCCAACACAGTTCCGCCCAAGCAAATGACGCCATCGAAGAAATAGAGGAATGCCACCTGAGCCACACATCACTACCATCACTACTGTCACTGTCCCGATGCGGTGTGCCATGAGGTCCAAAGGTCACCAAGGTCACCATCTGGTGACCCAGTGACCCAGCCAGGTCGCCATGTACCAAGCCCAGCCCTTGACCAAGCCCAAGAGCTTCCCAATGGATGCGCCAATCCTTGGCCGAGCTTCGGGGCATCTCTATAAACGTTTACAGTTTGCTATTGAAAATGGTCATTGATAGTTGATTTACATATTAAAAATGGTGATTTTCCATAGATATTGTATGTTTACCAAAGGGTAGATGTCCACTTGCTCTTCTCTCAAGATCAATTTCATTTTTTGATATGTGGAAGATGAGAATCTAAGACTTCATCATGGAAACAGACTTGGAGTTGTCTGAAAACAGACAACTCAAACCGGTTAAAATCGTCGGTTTGCCAACATTGATTGACCAGTTACTTTAAATAGTGGTTCCCTATTATATTCGCTTTCCAATTATAGCTAGTAATTACGATGCTTGTAAAACTGTTTCCAATTGTTCAATGGCATGTATATACCCCATAAAGTGCATAAACCCCATAATGTATCATAATATGATACGCACTTTTATTATAGAAATATCCAACAAAACCTATGTTCACATGTATGCCCGAAATGTCCTATATTACCACATATACCCATATAGGGATCCGTTCGGGGCCGTTTAAGAACTTCCAGCATTGACACACCAAGGGTCACCGTGGAGAAGGTCACCAAGGCTACGAAGAGAAACAGCTTCAAGGATGATTCCATGGCATGGTGCAGGGTCCTGACGGGACGTCGAACGATGATAGATGTATGGTATGTGTATAGTGTGTATGGTATGAGTATGTATAGTATAGTGTATATATATATATATACACGTATATATGTGTGCGTGAGTGGTCATCCTGGGGAATATGGAATGGTCAAAGAATCCTCACTAAAGCGAAAATATGTTTCAAAAATCCCATATTCTATCTACTTCAGGGTGACTATATGATGTGTGTGTATATGTGTGTGTAGATTCAGTATAGATCTTCAAAAGTGTTGAAGGTATGGGTTTGGACCTGAAAATACGTCAACCCCGAATCCAGCGGCTTATCGGTTTATCATCATGTTCCCTACTCAAAATTCCATAAATTGAGGGCGTACCCCATTGTCAGACTCATATAGAAAGATAGCATAAGATGCATTGAAATTCCTAGGTGATAACATTCCACATCATCCACTAATACAAAAAACCGCCTCCATGGGCCCGGTGAATTGGGATATCAATTGCTATTTCTGGGATATCAAACTCCTCCAGAGAAGCCAGAAATCCGCACAGCGCGGAACTAGACATGACAAAACTGCCGATACCTTGTTGTTTCTGAATCACAGGTAGTGAATCGGTTTTGGATCGTGACATAACAATCATGCGCTTCAATTCGAAACTAAATTCATAGCTACCCAATGCTCCCCAAAGCTCCCCAAGGCTCCCCGTAGCTCTTTGGGAATGTGGATACTTGAGGCCGGGGGTGGATGACGAAAGCTAGCGGGGTAGGAGAAAGAAGGAAGGGAAGAGGTGAGTTGCGGAGGGACTGTCATCATCGTGTCGCGGCATTGTTCGTCCCAACGAGGATGCAACAATAATATATGATATATGATATATAACAATGATATATATGGGGGAGGGGGCAGGGGGGGGCCCTTTCGCGTGAAAAATCACGTGATGTCCTTGGGGAGCCCCGGAATACGTGCTAAAGCAAGAAGACTCTAGCGAGCTGACGCTAGCTTTCGTGATAATGCCAATAATTGCCAATAATGATAAAATGTAATTGATTAACGATGATGGTGATGATGATGATGATGATGATGACGATGACGATGACGAGGACGATGACGATGACGAGGACAAGGACGAGGACGAGGACGATGATGATGATGATGATGATGATGACGATGACGAGGACGATGGCGAGGACGATGACGATGATGATGATGATGATGATGATGACGATGATGATGACGATGATGATGGTGGTGATGGTGATGATGATGATGATGATGATGATGACGATGACGAGGACGAGGACGATGGCGAGGACGATGACGATGATGATGACGATGATGATGATGATGATGATGGTGGTGGTGATGGTGGTGGTGGTGGTGGGGGGGGGAGGGGGTGAAGAGAGGGGCCCTAGCGTCTACTTCAAGATCAGCTAAGGCGTCTTCCCCAATGACAGCACTCTTTTACTCTCAGCCTGTTGCCGGTCCGTGCTTGTCTACAGGGTTACTCTATATACCTCTTGAGCCTTGAAGGGCGCATATAAATGTGCTCAATACTCATGCATGTACCTATGTAGGTATTAGGTCGAAACAAAAACACAGGCACAAATTCAAAAGCAATGAGTAGAGCACTACGCCTTGCCGTACCCAATTGGTATTAAGAGTATCTTCCTGACTTCTCTACACAATGGCAAATAGCAAAAGAAACCGGAGTTACGCAGTGGCTTCGAATTGAAAAACATGTGAAAGCAGCGAATGTCCTAAGGACATGTCGAAAAAGAACAGCGGATTCGCTAATTTTTCCAGTAGTGACCAATGGTGCTTCGCGCACGGTCTCTCCACAGGCAAAATGCCTTGCTCTACCGGTGAAAGTTCGAATTGAAAAGTTCGGGTTCGCAAGATTCAGAAATTCAGGTCATACGAAAACAATTGACCAAATCACGAAATAAACGGAAATAGCGGATCTCCAAAGTTGCTCATTCAAGCAAACAATGGACTGAAATCGAAGTTGGTAAATTTTTGAAGTTCGCTCCATTCGGAGTGGTCTGCTCGCCGGATGATTCATGGAGATAAATGTATATAGTATCTCTATTTACAAGAGTCTCTATTTACATTAAATTTAAGTTCAGACACTTGTGGCATTATCTCTATCTAAAAGAGTATATGCCATCTGTGTGAAATAAGTTGAACGCACAGAAAAACTGTACACGGCTTCTCATGCTGTGTTATCTTCAATTAAAGAAGTGTACACTCACTCATCGCCACTCACTTGATCTCCATGGTCTGGACGCTGAAGATGAGGATCCACCCCACTCTGTGTTGCCCTGATACGTCGATGCTTGATCTTCATATGCCTTTCTCTTTTTCTCCTTCTGTCTTTCCTTTCTTGAATCAGCATACTGCTTCTTCTTGTAGGCCTGTTTGTAATGATGTCGTTCATTCCATGACATATCAGAAGGATCAAGATGGATAAGAATTGGATTATGAGCATCGCGATCATTTGGAGCAACCATGAAGATGTTGTGATCACCATGTAAGCAAGTTTCATTTACCTTGAAGTAAAATTCACCCACATAGTTCATGTGATCTTCATCCTCAAAGTCTTCTGGGTGTTCCTCACACATCAAACGTGAATGACCCCACTCAACAACTGTTAACATACAACAATCACCTTTACCATTTGTCTTGTTCATGAGCTCGTCGGTGTATGTTGCTGTTGTAATGCCATCCAAGTGCGTTGCAAGAAAATCCAAGTCACGATAACTGCAAGAAATAAAATGCTTGACCCTGATTGGAGGGCAAGTTGGATCAAAATTCTTGCGCATGGCTTGTGTTGCAACACCTACCATTCTGTTAATCCAGAATTGGATAAGGCTGTGTTGATATGTAGGGACACCTGGAGATTTTGGTGTGCTGTAATAGCATGCCTTGTTTCCATCACCTGCGATGAAGTCAACTTGATATCTGGCACACTCAAAAGCCATAACAGCTAAGCTTTCACCAACAATCCCAGCAGAGTCTGATGCATACTTCTGTCCGACGTGATAAACGCACACACGTGTCATTCTCATCCTAGCTCTTGTCAAGTCAACAATCTCATCTGTATCTCGATCCTTTGTCTTTCCCCAAGATACTTCAAAGATTGCCCATGAGACTTGTCGAACTCGTGTGTCGTTGTCATCTGTGTGATATCCAGCAATTTGCTTGATATAGCCATCCTTTCCAAGGCGAGCTGCCACCATCAAGTCATGATAGTCATTGAAGCAAGTTTTGAAGTCAACCTCGTTGAGTCTTTCTCTGTGAGGATACAACGAACCAGCCTCGCAATTCATGAAAAGATGTCCTCCAAAGTTCTTGATGACATTGATGAAGTAATTGTTGAACTGTGATTTGGTTTCATCAAATTTTTCATGATCCTCATCGATAGTGTAGTCAATGTGTGGAATGAATTGTTGAAATCTTTCTGGAACCGGGCATTTTTCAAATCTGTTTCTGCACCAGTTTCCCAAATTCCAAAACATTGCTGTTATCTGTGGAGAGGATCTGTATGGAAATTCAGCATCCTTGTACGTTGGGTCTGATAGGCCTCCACCTAAATACCTGTAAGCCAAGCTATGCAAGATCATACAGTAAGGCAAGACCTTGTGTTCCTCAACGTAATCTTGGAGTACCTTTGTGAGATTTCCAAAATCGTCATCAATCCTCTGTTCTGCTTCTTTTGAGGATCTTTCTGCTTTGTCTTGATGAAGAGGATGCATCCTTGGATCACTACAACCATATTCAATGCGCTGATTAAGTTCTTGTAATTCTAGTTGTGGATCCTGATTCTTGTGTCTGGCAATGTACTCAACCATCAACTGGTCATCTGTAAGATGGTACCAAAAATCATGATGTGGAGACATGGTCTTCCTGTACTTAACATGCCAAAACATATGTCGATGCTTCGAAGACGCTGGATAACCTTTGTTGTAAAATCCTGCCCATTCACCATGGTAACCATCTGAAAAACAATCCTTCAATTTTCGAAAAACTGAATCATCTTCGTTTCCAGTGATATCTTGACCATAGTAAAGTCGAATTGCAGGTTTCACTTCAGGAGCTGTCTCATCATCTTGAATGTCTGTTTTCTTCTCCCCTGATTCCTCCTTTTCTGAGGAGCGTTCAGGTGGAGCTGATTCCTCTTTCTCTGAAGAGCCTTCAGCTGGGACATGTGGCTCCTGTGTGTCTTTTTCTTCTTCTTCTTCTTCGACAGCAATCTCCTCATCTTCATCCTCTTCTTTCTCTTCTTCCTCTTGTCGTTCTTCTGGTTTGACAAAACTTTCCTTGATCTTTCGTTGAACATTCTGATTGCACATACTGATCCATTTCAATGTACACTCAACCAATTTGTCATCATCAGTTTCCAAAATGATATGTTTGTCCTCAATGTTCAAACTTTCAATGGTATGCTTGTACTCAGGATCACCTGCGCCTGGTCTTTGAAGATCTGGAAGTGGAGTCTCTGGATCATCGTCCACCATCTGAGGATCCTCTGCTCCAAAGAAATTTTCTGCGCCAAGGTGTTCATTGTCCTTGAGAACTTTGTCAATATCCAGTTTGAACTCATAGTACTTGTCGTAAGAGATCTCATAACCCATCATAGGTGCATACTGCTCCATAAATGTTGAAAAAGAAGCATCTGATAATGCTGACATCATCAACCATAATGAGAAGAAGCTTATGTCACCACGTTCAAGGGGTCGACTTCCTTCAAGATCATCTTCTGTGAGGATTGTTTGGCCTTGGAGTGTAATATCATGGAGGATCTGTCTGTGCTCTGGTTTGAGTTGCCTGACTAAGAACAGTCCCTGTCGATCTTCCATATTTCTTCGAGGATTTGCATCAGGTAATACCTCACTTTCTTGTTGTGGTTGTGTTTCCTCTCTTTCTTGAGAGCATACACCTTCTTCCTCTCTTTCCTGAGAGCCTGATGCCTTTTCCTCCTCTTTCCTGACAAAAACTTGTAGTCTTGGCAAAAA